CGGACAATCGCGCAATTTCGCACAAAGAGTTTCGCTCTTTATTGTAATGCTAATCTGTGCATCACGGCAATGGCGTGATGGCGCATCGAGTGATCCAGCGGTTCTCGCGAGAAGCCTTAACCTTATCGATTACTCTTAATGAATCGGGACGCGAAATGAAAATACGCGGCACGCAGAGAAAGCGCGAATCTTCGCCCCGCGCAAAGTAACACTCTTTCTGCCGCGCGTTGTGGCGCGCTAATTTTTCATCAAGCTCCCCCCCTCCCCCTCCCTCCCAAGAGCCTACTTCGCTCCATCGTCCCCAGCTTGCGCATAATCTCTACAGAGTTCACACGTTTTCCCAAGAGAATCCAGTTGCAACCTCGTTTGCAGCCTCTTGTGCTATTGGATGGAACTTTTTGTGCAACGTGCGAGAGTGTATACGGGCAAAGCGACGAGAAGCAAATTAAAACATTTGTCACGTCGGGGGGAAATGTTGTACGGCGGTGTATAAATTTTCTTGTCCGCCGGATGGAAAAAAGTCGGAGAAGATTTAACGTACGATCGTGCGATTAAACCAGCCACGCGTTATATCAATTTTGCCGAACCGACCGTGCCCCGAATTGGGACGTTGCAATTGTTGCGCCCTGCGAGGATTGCAGATGACGTTCCATTAGCGATACACGTTACGTTACGGTAATCGGCGACAATCGATAAAAATGTCAAAACGCATTCTCCTTTCCGGCGCGCGCGATCCACGGCATTTCGAGATTTATTTAAATTGTACATTCAAATCGAAATCCCCTTCGATAGACCGTGTGCGTGCTACCTGCTGGCAAACAAATTAGAATAATACGAGGCGGGGAAAAGCTTAACGATGACACACATCCACACGCCCGCGCAAACGCAAAGCGCGCGCGCGCAAGCAACGCAGCCCGCGATTGAAAAAGAAATCGGCGCTTAATGGCGGTATGACGCTTTTTGCGGCATTTCCGCGGCGGCTGAAAAGGAACAACGGCGGAAAACCAACGCGTACGCGTTTCCATTTTCATGGAAGTAATTGTCGCGATATCGTGACGCGCATTCAAAAACTGATATCGTTGATGCATAACGTGACAGTGAGATGAATTTTTAATGCACTTTACGCTTTACCGTCTCGCCAGTCTTTTGTGCAGTCAATGCGCGGTCTTCACTTTGCAACCACGCACGATCATTTATTCACAAGAGTATAATGATAATAACAACAACAACAACACCAACACCAACACCAACAACAACAACAACAACAATAATAATAATAATAACGATGACAGTAATAAGAATGATAATAATAATGATAATGATAACGATAACGATAATAACGAGACAACAACAATGAATATTTATGCGTCCGTGTTCTCGCGAGATCGCGCTCTAACGCGCCGCATTGAGTTTACACGTAGGTGTTCTATTTCGGATATTTAGGACGGAACCGACCGATCCAAAAGACGCGGACCCTCCCCAGCGAAAGTGCGCACCGTTAATTAGCGTGCGTCAGACGCACATGTGGGAGTTCTATTTCTGGCCTTTCACAATAACGAAAAGTGGATCCAGAGATCGCACGAATCTCTTTCTTTTAACGCGCGCGAATGCGTGTCCTCTCTTTCTTCAAGCTTATTTTCACACACACACACAGAGAGAGAGAGAGAGAGAGAGAGAGAGAGAGAGAGAGAGAGATATCTAGATTATTAGATATTTTTTTCCCGCAACGCACACTCCGTACTCCGTACAAGATGATAAAGAAAGAGAGCGGTGACAAAGATGGGAATAAAAAGGCTGCTTTGCAGCAGGCAGCTTTCTGCTGCATCAATTTAACGTCGCCGCAAACGCCAAAAACGTCGACACAACGAACAGAGTTTCGATTTCTCGTCGATGGCCCGGAACAAGCGCGAGAGTAGCCTCTCTACCTTGGGAACTTGGAAGCGTGTCTCCGCGCGTAAGTCACGCTGCGCGCCGTCACGCCGGTGTCTGTGTAATATAACAATACGCTAACTTCGCTCGGCATTATCCCGCTATTGTTTACGGTATTTTTAATCACTTTCATTCGCGAAGAGCGCGGCGGATACCGCTACATGTACACCGAGTTGATTGCTTTGGATCGACGAGGCCGCAGCAAGTAGTAGCCGCGCGAGTAGCGCACCACGTCCTATTTTCCGTTCGAAACACTTTCTTATCTTGTGACGTTTCACGCTGAAAAATATCCCATTAACCCGGCGGAAAGTGAAATTTGTTGTGCGAATGCTGACGCGATGCTCGCCTTCACGGCGAGCTGTCTTTTTATCACTCGGCTTTCAGAAACCTCGTCGCTATTTATTTCGTTTCGATCGCGTCGCGCTACATTCTCGGTGTCTGCGCGCCTACTTGAAAATTATTTCAGATCCGAGTCACCCGCGAACACACGTCCCTTTCATGATTTTATGAAGGAAATGTTGAAAGCGCGCGCGCGGGCGATATATATATTTCTATTGTGCCGACGATATCGTTGACGAAATATCCGCAATATTCCGCGGAGATGTTGATGAGTGAAGTTCTCTCGCGGTGACAAACTTGATCGCGCAAGAGAGGATCGCTCTCGGTCTGCTTATGCAACGGGAGACGTTCTTTCGTCCCCCCTCCCTCCCCCTCCCCCCGTCAACCGTACCGGTACTTTGTGTACCGTAGCGAGCAAAAAAATGTAACAAAAGACACAGAGGTGGAGAGCAAAAGTCGACAATCTTCTTTCTTTCCACCTGCTCAAAGCGGAGCAGTCGCAATTTCATTTAAACACGTTCGCGGAACGCAATTTGGCTTAAATACACCAGGTAGGTCTTTTCTACTTGATGGTTAACTACTTTTCTTTGGCTGAAAACGAGAAAACGAGGTCGGCTCGGCATAGCAGCAGGATGGAGGACTCACCCCGTGTGTACCCATGGATTGCTCCCTGGGTAGAAACACCATTCCAAAGGTCATCGTGATTAGCAATTCTTGATTCGTCCGGCCGGCCAAAGAGAAGAGAGGAGAGAAGAAAGCACCTCGCAACGCGCGCCGCGTTATACGTAATATCGTGCGTAGATTACGATTAGCGGTGGCAACTCTTGCGGAAACTTAATCGCGCGTGTCGGCCGGCATGTTAACGTCAAATTGATCATCGTTACGTCGTTTACATCTCTTGACGGATCGCGCGCGCGTGCGCGCGGCACAAGACGTAGTCAAATTTACAACGGCGCCGAGATGCGCAGCGCGCGAGAGACATTTGTTAGCGCGAAACGCGGGAAAAGAATTTCGCTCGCCCGCGAGCCGGGACATTGCAATTCGAAGAACAATACGTTCTGGCTGTGCGTTCTGTAATACTGAAAAATGTTTCGGACGTTTCTGCGGGATTCGTCATCAATCTTGATTTCGTGCATCTGGGTAATATGCAAAGTGAGCCTTTCGTATTATTTCGATTGCGACGTAGGTTGAGAGCGTAGGTATATTATGCGAGCGTATGTGCACCTTGTCCGTCTCTGTGCAACATGACGCAATTCCGTAGGCCATTACGTCGCAATATTTCGGAAATGTTAAATTTCGCTCTTTCAGAGAGCCCACGGCGTTTACGTGCGCGCGAGATACGTGAAGGGATTTAACGGGCGTGTCGCGCGAACACGCGACTCAAGTGGTGACTTTCCGCGAAAGATAACAAGGAATGTCACTGAAACTGCAAATGTATAATAAATGCGTTAATGTTGTATGCTTTTTGTTGATATTGCTTTCGTCTGGATCTCAGCAAATGATGCCTTGGTCAAACGCAATTATCGCACGATTAATCGCTATCAACGCAACTTTAGCCTTACCAAAATATAAGGCAAAGATAACAATTATTCATGACGATTAATTTTAATTTACTTGTGAAAATACTGACCGAGTCGTGACATCTTGTGACATCATACGATGCGCGCCGTACGTATCGATTTATTATAAGTCGCGGGGAAACGACGAGTCATGACAGACACACACGTGGCGTAAAATAACACGTGGCAGTAGTCGTCACGTGCGATCGATCTATCGAAAATCGGGACTCCCGCGAATCGGATTTGCACGGTGAAATTTGCATTTTGTTTGTCGATATGAGATGATAAGAAAGATAGGACTGCGCGCGCGCGCTCTCAAGATGCGCTCAAAACTCCGGTGGTGCGCGTATAAATAACGAATAATGAAATTCAACTCGAAGGGGAAGGAATGGAATCAGCCAATAAAATCGAGCCATCGATCGATAGTTTGAGCGCGAAGAGCCGCTCTCCGAGGCCGCGAGCCGCTCGGTGATGGTGATGGCGAGGGTGAACCCCGAAGATGGTCGTCTCTCTCTCTCTCTCTCTCTCTCTCTCTCTCTCGTCGGGCACGCCACGCGCGCTCGCTTAGGATTTTTTTTCTATATTAAAACGGCGATTACGACTGTTGTCAGCAATCCCAAAAATATCGGATTGCTTTCTCGAGAAGTCTCTTATCTCTTCACGTCAGACCGCGAAACTTCTATCGCGAAACAGAAAATATTCATGGTCAAGCATTATCGCGATAATAATCAGTCGCGAGGTCAGCCTCGCGAGCTCAGGGTCGTAAACGTGTCGTTACAATATCGTTCGCGAAGAAAGGGGCGAGTGAGTGATAAATCATGGGGTCATAGTGTCAGCTCGCTGCTTATTACTTCATAGCAAGTTCCCAGTTTCAACTTCACGGGTCAGATATCTTAATTCAAGCGGTCGTTCTTTCGTTTTTTTTTTTTTTTTTCGCGACGCACACGTGGACACGTTTCCTAAGCGACGCGACGACTCATTATCCGCGTATCAATCCCCGTATGCGGAAATCAAAGTTCAAACGATAACAATGTTCGTCGCGATCACGGCCACCAGCAGCTGGAAGATATCAACGCCACCCACGATATCCAGGCAACTGCGTACCCGGCATGCACCACGGCACAGACATCCGACTGCGCCACTCCGGCTCCTTGTAAAAGAGGGAACGCGCGCCGCCACCATCGTTCATTCACAACCACCTGCTCGACGGGGTAACATCGCTTCGGTGTCATCCGTCATCGGCGACAGACCGAGGGTGCACAGAGTAGCGGCGGGGAAGAACTGTCGTTTCTTTCTTCTCAGTGGTCATATCCTCGCGGTCAGCGCAACCGAGACGCACGTTGTCGACAAACACGCCGCGATGTGGAATAACTCGACTTCCGGCCTCACTTTCTCGATTTACCTCTTCGTTCTTCTGCTAACGATCCTGGCTTCCGGTAGCGACAAGGCAGAGGCGAAGCTCATAAGACAAAGCAAAGGTGAGTATAACCATCCCCTTCCCATCCTTCCTCCCTCTTTATCCTCCTTATTCGTCGTTTTACTCTGTCATCATCACGCCTCTTCTTTCATGTAACATCGCGGCTCTCTCCTCCTCCTCCTCCTCCTCCTCCTCCTCCTCCTCCTCCTCGGTATGGATCCTCCTTGAATTGGAACATTTGAGATCCTGCGGTCTCCTGAACCCAAACCCAAAAACGATCAATTCTCCGCGGAGATCCGTCGAAGAAAAGATCGACAGGAGCCGCGTTGCGCAGACAGTGTTGATTCATTTACCGATTTCTTTCATCGATCTCACCGAGTTGATTTATTTCTCTTTTTAATTCTGCGAGTTTGACACTCGGACATTTTTTTATTACGCGTAGGTGGTAATTGCGAAACTTTCTCGACTCGGTTTCACTTCGGATCAAAGTGGAATTGTTCAATTTTTCAGGAACACTGCGAGCAGGTAAGTCCAAAGTCTAGTCTTTGGCAAAAGCTAAAAAATAAAGCGTCTCGAGAGTTACGTTCCTTCGCGCGTGCGAAGGAGGAGGAGGAGAGGCTGCGAAAGGTCTCGTAAATTTCAACTCCCCCGCGAACGACCGCCCGCGCGGTCGCGATTTGTTTTACAAGAATTTCGGATCCCGAAAAGTAACGTTTATCGGCAGATCTATCAAACGATTTATGTAGAGAGCAAATTTTATACCGCAAAGTCGCGCGCGCGTGTATCTATTTCTTCGGACGATATCCATTTGCAAAAGTTGCGGGATTAAATGTTCTTCTCGCTGGCGACGCCGCGGCGACGGGGCGCTGCGGGAATATTACCGATAGCCGAGCGATCGAACGATCGCAGGATACGCAGGATATTCATCATCATATTCGAAATTTGCGCTTCGCCTACAAATCCCCCCGCCCGTCAAAAAGCCAGCGCAAATACGCCAGAGATAAAAGTATGATGTTTGTTAGACGTGTGTACGGATGATAACTCCATATTCCGAACGAAGGCACTTTCTCGTAAAAGCTGCAATTTAAACAACGCCGGACTCGCGGACCGGCGTTTGATATTTCAAATCGGCCGTCGCGCCGAACAATTTCGTCGCTTCGATCTCCCTCGAACGGCCGTTCGCACATTTCCGTTTTTACCGCGAAACCGAAACATCCAAATGGCTTCGCGTGCGCCGGCAACTTACGTTGAACGTTGAATTCAATGCAACTTCCGGCGGGAATCCGGCTGCGGAGCGGAGTCGGTTTGCCTTTTCGTCACAATTTATCGATCGATTGTGGATTGTGGATACGGACGAAACGAATTTCGATGGATGGACCCTGTGCGAAGCAACGTGTCGATCGATTCGAGCGCGTATTTAAGACGACGCGGAAGAAGTTATTAGAAGGAAGGAAGGAGGAGAGCTGCGAAAAGCTGCTCTCTACAAATTGATCGTCTTTTTCCTTCCTTTTACTTTTTTCTTTTTTATTTTCCTTCTTGTCGCGATCTATCCTTTCGTGATGCTTGACGATTCATTCAATTACCGGCGGATAGACTAGAGAGAAGGTAATTTTTATTCGAGCGATATTAATGTCCTTGAGCAAGAGGACTCTACGTCGGCTCTACGTTCTAAACGTCAAATGTACGTACACGTACAGTGCCTGCTTGTTTGTCTTTCATTCGGAACACTCGGATATTTTGGAAGTTTCGCTCAATTAGACAGCAATTAGCGAGCTCTCGTTCTCCGAGAGGAGATTACGATTAAATAAAGTTTGAGCTTGTCAAGCGATCAAATAAAAAAAATTCGATGCCCCGATGTTTAAGGAGATTACTTACTATGCTTGTGAAAATGATCTCGTTTCGCAAGCCATTCATCATTGGGCAGATAATGGGCGAGAATATGGCGACGTTTTGTAATCCTGTCAATCGCACTACTATGAGCTTTCGCGAATACGCGAGCCGCGACAATGCGCGACCTAAACTTCGCGTAGTTTTGTCGCGTATGTACGTTCGATGACACATTGCGACTGCAGCGTGTGTCCGTTCAACTTCTATTTCGGTCCCGGCGAGGAGCGAGCGCTTGATTAATTCTGCGATGCTGCGCGTGTCGCGAAATGTTCTGCGCAAAACTCGCGTAGAAGCGAGTTATCGATGCCGCATTGTAATGTCAAATCCGTTAGCTCTCACGGCCGCGAGAGATGTTATAAGCAGCATCGACCGTTTGCTTCATGTTTCACGTTTCCGTGACACGATTATCAGTTCTTACGCGAGTTGAGAATAGTGCTGCGGTAGAGCGTGGCTTTAACACGAGGATAGAAATGATCAAGGATACCAGTGTGACGCGACCAAGTACGCGACGACCACGACGACGCGACAGAGATCAAAAAATACCATTCGTTCCGGATCTGATGATCCGCTTCTGATTTCGCGCCAGCGGGAAAGCACCGCTTTTTTTTTGTCATTTTTCTTTATCGCCCTCGCGACATGTGACCGTCTGTTTCTGAGTGTTTCCGAAGAGATACACTCACGCGTCCAATCCAATCCAATTTACGCTGATTTTGCAGATAGATCTCCCTCCTAATATAAATACGTAGATAGATTCTATTCCCCTTCCTGACTGAAAAGCGAGATGCTTCGCGGGGGCCTTCGACAAACGGCAACTTTGATCTCGTCGCACATTTTGTTGTTTCAGCCGTGCGTCTCTAAGTAAACTATCGCGACGCACGATCGGCACGCGCGTCGGCGCTCGTCCTAAAAACGTCCAGATTCAATGCTCCGCTTATAGATATCGAAAATTAGCAATTTGATTGACCCGCATTACCACGCGAGATTAAAAGCAGCACATTGGCAGCAGAGAAAATTGCAACGTAGTTAGCGCGCGCGTATAATGCAACAACGGCTCAGTTAGATGTGTTTGTTGCGTAATAGGCAATCGCCGCGATCATCATTAACGATTGGCATCGTTAAGTATTGAGCGCGACTATTTAACACGACTGCTGCTTCCGGCTGCTGTTTTACGTACCCCTTGTAACGATTAACTGGCGCCTTGTCGCCTTCAATCGGCATCAATCAATCTATCTCAATCGGATTTTCAACGGACACCTTTTCCAGTATGAAACGCGTGAGAAAGCGCGTTTAAACGTTGAAACGCGTGGCGAAGAGGGTAAGGATTTCGAATGGCACGACGTAAGTAAATCCTTACTTGCGCGCGTCATTGGTGTCACGGTGAAGTGCACTCGGCTAGCCAATTCATAGCGAATAGAATGGAATTACGCCGGACACGCCGGACCGGATCTGTCATTGTAAATGTAGTGCGGTTGCTCTCAGGTTGATCGAAGGATCCGGAATTGTCCAGACGTGACGCGAGCTGATGAATTCGGATGTGTCGGGCAATCAAGTGCAGACGAACGTCCGTCGCCGCCGCGGCGACGCGTATTCTTCCGCTCGCGCGGGGGGAGGTGTGTGCATCATCCCGCGAAAATGCATGCCCGTGATGATGCCTGTGAAATATTTGTAATCATTCCGAGTGATCTACAAGCACACCGCGCGCCGCCACGCGTATATCAAAGCGCATTTTTTTACGCGCGCTCTGCCTTGACTGATCTCTTCTTGAAAATTGGCCGCCAACCGCTCATCATCATTTGCCTGCTTTAACGCGCAAGATACGGATAACGTAGTACATCGGGAGAGTCATTTACGACGAACATTGTGCGAGATCGTCGAGAGATCGATATATGAGACGCGACATTGTGCACCTCGAGAAGTGAAAAAGAACAAGAGCGCGCGCTTGAGGAGAGTTTCTCTCCCGCGTGTAGCTGCGTCTCGGTCAAACTCTTGAAAATGTAACTAAAATGTAAATGAGCGCGGGGGGAAAGGGGCGCAATCTCGCGTTCGATCGCGTAAAGAAGAAGACCGAAGCCGACTAATCAGCTTTGTGTGTCTCCAATGATTACTGCGCGAACAATTTGGCCAAGTAACGCGGCGCTCCTTTATCGTTCCGTGGGCAATTTCGCAACCTCGGCACGTATCGCGGATTATATTTGCTGCTTTCATTAACGGCCGAGTCTAAAAACTGAACGGCCAATCTTTTCGGTGAAACATGTGCGCGCGTTGTATAATTTAATAAATTTCTGACACACAAGTTATTTGAATATTTTGATACTTCCTCCCACATGGTACGAGCATATATACGTACATGTGCGCGGTAATATTAGAATAATGTTATCTTTATTCATTGGGTTTGTATATTAATGTTTTCGAGCAATCGCTGCGTGTGCGAATCGCGCAGTGTGCGATAATTATTACGATTATTATTACGATGAGCCGGCTCGGAACAAGCGGAATCAGAAATTATGTCACATTGTTGTCATTATGTTGAAATGGAAAGAGTTTTGATGAAAATTTTTCCCACATATTTGCATCCACGAAACACCAGAAATTCCAGAATCGAATGCACGACGCTGCTTTCATAAATTGTCATTACGTCATACCTCACGTCACGGCAAATGTCTCGATAAAGTTATTCATTCCCTGGAGAATCACTCAAATTGATTCTTTCAATTGATCGAACGGCACAAATGTCTCACGATATCGTCCAGTCGGCAGTCAAAGCGTAGAGTCGGCGCTCCTTGGCAAAAATACGAAAATTTTTACATTAAAATCGCGTGGTCATCTTCCCGGTGGTGATTTGTCCCGCGTTGTCCCGCGAAATGTAACGCTGATATGACGCCGTTACAGGAATTTGGGATAAAGTCTGAATTGTCCCACCTAGGAGGCAAATTTATGCAGATACATTTGCATGGAACGCATTTCAAAAATTTTTATGCTTGGGAACGACGGTATTCCACTGCCCCAAAGCGGTGGAATATATAAATCATTATATTTGGATGAAGTGTATATTTCGTATTGATTAAATGAATAAGTAACAATCGTGTTCGTTAGTTTCGTTATCAATGACGAGAGAGAATTGATTTCAGACATTGAATATTTTGTTTCCGCAGCGATGCCTGCGCCGCGATTAGCTTGCAGCCGCGAGGAAGAGAGACAACGGCTCAACGATTGAATAATTCAATCGTTACGGTATTTCCGACTGCGATCCCGAAAAGCTCGGACAAAAGCGCGGTCGAATAAAAAATCGCGCCGGATTTAAACCGCCGGATAAAAAATACCCGCGTTTTGCTTTCTTCGAAAAGAAGAAATCTCTCTCTCTCTCTCTCTCTCTCTCTCTCTCCTTCTCTTCCCGCAATTCCCACCTCGTGTTCCCAGCCTTTATTCGTCTCTTCTTTATTTCACAATCAACTCACGAACCTTTCATTTTCTGCAGATGGCTGTTCGATATTTGGGCATTCATGTTTCGGGGGTCACGGCAAGAGATTCGACCCGCTCGCGCGGCGCATGCTGGAGGCGAGCAATAAACTGTCGAACCGACATTCTCAAGAGTCCGAAATGCTGTCGCCAAACGACGACGACGACGACGACGACGATGACGACAACGACGACGACGATGACAACAACAACATCAACAACAACCTACTCTATATTCTTCCAAACGACAAGTTGCGTTCGTTCACAGAGCGGTCGTTCATTCCGCCTCGTCGGAACGCTCGACCGTTCGATTCCTACCGGCTGTCGTCTCTCGTTGACCAATGGGTACGTGCACAGTGCGTCTATGCGATAAATGTTGTCCGTTTGTCGTCCGTTGCATTTGTCAGATCGAGTTGGACGAGGAAACTATCCCCCCCCCCCTCCCTCCCGGTATTTCTACGTAATATTAATTCCGACATTGTCTCTTTCCATTTTCTCCTCGACCCAACCCACATCGATCGAACTCTCTGCAAGTTCTTCGGAATTTTGTGAAACAAACTTTGGAATCACTTTGGCGCGAAATGTGTATTTTAAGAATTTATTGACACGACGCGATGCCTAAATGCTGTGTGTGCATAAATGCTGTACTTTTCAGTTAGCGACGCATCGTCGCCCGCATCGCACGGACCTGGAAGTAACTAATAAGTAAACGGGGTGTATGGACGAGCGCGACCTGCGTCATGTGTGTCAGGACGAAGCGACTTCCGCATCATTGTTCGAGAGGAATCGAAATTAATTAAACTGACGATTATTTCTCTTGGTTATTATACGCCCCGAATCTACACAGTCAATGGCGCTGTTGCGTGTATTATCTTATCTTTTCCGTACTGTTGCGACAATCACTGTTTCTCGCGAGCATTATAAATCTGTAAATCTATGTAAGACCTAAGGCGAGACTAAAATAATGAGAGAAGACGATTTCTAGAAAATACAATTGATAGAAAGTTAAATAGGATATTCGGTAGAGTCGCGTGATTCGACGCGCGTGATTCGACGCCGTTGAGCCGAATAATTTAAAGCAGTAACGAAAATCGAGACATTTCACTTGTGTGTGTTTTACGTTATTTAGTGGTGCAACATATGCATGATGGATATGTGTGCGTGTGCGTGTTGATTGATTGTAACAATTATTTGCACAGAGCGTTTTACATTTCGGTACGAGGATTTTACCCGTTTATTAATTAACAATCTACATATTCAGTGCTGTGATATACTTTTGTTATCCATATTTGTAAACTTCTTCTTCGAGATAATATTTAAATTATATTTAATTCCACATATACACACGTATGTGTTACGTTTAGTATATTTATTTTTATGATTTATTAAATGTACATTTAATAAAACACCAAATTTTATCGAGGATGATTCTGAATCGCGGATACGCGTACAGTTCTTTATTTAAAATTATCGACTTGTCGTTCACACTTGTTTTCCGGCAAGGCCGTTAGAGAGAGAGAGAGAGAGAGAGAGAGAGAGAGAGAGAGAGAGAGAGAGAGAGAGAGAGAGAGAGAGGGAAGCGCTTGCAAAGTTATCATTGCTGTTTGTATACTTTGTCAGGGTATAGTTTAAATATTATATTCGCGTCTGCGTAGACACGTGCATCGCTCACGTTCGTTCGATCACGACTTCGAACTCCGCTGGAGGATCGAACGCGGATAACAACGCGGGAAATTTTCGCGCGAAATTGCATCCCTTGCTGCCGCATATCGACGACGATGTTGTATTCCCGACGGATAATCGTGCTTGTGATGCAAATCGCGTCGGTAAAATCCGTCGTCGTTCGTATCGCGAGAGAGTAAGTTACCGTTGTTACCGTTTTGTCCACTCTCCGCTCTCGGAAAAATCGATGGCACATTGTAACCGGGCCAAATAACAAACTACGAACATTTGTTGCATGTAAACCTTGTCCTAGAACTTTGTCGCATACAATCGATGGCGATTATAAGTTATTTTCGCGAAATAAATATCCCCCGCATCAGAATCGACCGACTTATTAAAGCAGCAGAGGTCGCTGTCACTTGTCGCAGTTGCATCCTTGCTTGCGTCGATAGTCATGCAGTGAGAGATATTGAAATTATATGAAAAAAATGCTGGCACATACTCGCCGTGTATTTTGTTTCGCTTAATAATGCTTTGTAATGCGACAACAGTGTTTCTTTTGCAATTATACGTGCTCAACGTCGATTATTTGTAGTTGCGCACCGGAATATTTGTGAACCATACGTATGACGTTGTACCGTCATACTGTTGTGCACCGGTTTAAAGATCCGCGCGGATACCTCCCCCAAGAGAAAAAGAAAAAGTAATCCGGTTTCAATCTCCGGTCAACGTCTGACGTTCGTGTCAATTAATGTAAAATCAATATTTGAGATTTATTTGGTAAGCTTTACATAATTTCTCAGTTAGAGCTAGATGGAAAGCGTGCGTTGTCGCGGCAGAGTCTTTCTCGCATAGATAAATATTCTACAGCAGTGCATACGCATACATATTTTCGCACTAATTGAAACGGAACGCTGCAAAAAATCGATGGAATTCTGCACGTTGTTGTTACACATATTTGACACGATTGTGCAATGCATAATTAACAGAATTGAGAGTGTCATCAGAGAAGAGTATAGTTCTTTAATTACAAGTAAGAACTTAAGAATTCGGCTGCGATACTAATTGGAGATTGGAGCTTAATACAAAAACACGTAGACATATTTCTTTTCTTTCTTTTTTTTTTTTGTGTTTTCTTCTTACTGAGAATTATCATCACTTTTCGGTGGGAGAGACGCGTTTCTCGGAAATTCTCTTGACTCGTCGCGGTGTCTTGCAGTCTCTTATTCCATCTTCCCATTTCTCACATTCTGCGGACGAAGAGAAACGCATCGTTAGTATACAGCGGAGACTGACACTGTCGAGACTGATGGACACTGATGGAAAATCCAACGAAGATTAATATAAACACGAGGGTTTACCAGAAGCTTCAGTATGTCAAAGTTTCGAGGATCATTAATCGGCTTTTCATCATATTCATCGGGCGAAACTAACAAGATCTCCGCGGTGTTTTCGGATTTCTCATTGCTACTGCACATTGTATCTTTCGCATTGTTGACTTTTTTTTCGTTTGCCTTGTTAATTGGAACTCTGCAAATATTTATCGCGAGTGTTACGTATAAATTTATCGATAATTAAATAAAACACAAATATTTTTCGTACAACTCATTACTCAAGATATAGGCAAGGATGTCGAAACGAATGTATACGCTGAGGATAAATTGTGCGAATAATGCATTATTCATTTGTAGAGAGAAGGGAGAAAAAGAAAGCGAATATTTCAGAATTTACTTATCGCTCGAAATTGTGAAAATGCGACAGAATGCGGGATGTGATTCAAGGTGAAGGTGACGAGATATTACGAATAAAAGAGATTAAACCGACCGACTAACCATTCGCCGTAGTGTGATTATATCGATTATGATATTGCTTCTTGATCGAAACGTCGGAAAGTCTCACCATGAAAAAATAGCGTTACGTAAGAAAAAAAAAAAAAGAAAAGAAACAAGAAGTAAAACTCGTAAGGAAAATCTGCAAAGTGCGCTTCAAAACTTTGCCAACTGTGAAGTGTTCTCTGTAATTTCGCGCAACCTTGTCATTAATCCCTCTGTGATCCAGACCATTCCCAAGATGTCCAGTTACATGTATAAACGTTCAAGCCGATGGCGGCTTGTTGCTCTTTTTTGTCGCGTGCGTGCAACGCGTCACGTGAGGAAGAAAAGTCCGTTCGTGAGCGGAATCTTATTCCTTCGGTAATTCGCGCTCTCGCGATATCTCCCCCCTTGACGAGAGAATTTCGTTGCGGCTAACTATAACGATTTAATCCCGAGTATAAACAACAAGGAGACACCGCGTCGATGAGCGAGCCGGGGCCGATCAATTTGGAGTTTATAAAGGATATTATATTTCAATATACAGTGACTCGAGTGACTGCGAATGATGACATGTCTTTCTCGTGGAGAATCAACTTTCACTCGCGTCGATTCTGACGCGATTTAAACTGAAAAAAGAAAAGTATACTCCCACGCGTGCTTCGCATTTAACTCCCGATGAAGGAGAGAGTTTGCAATTAACGCGATTTCAACGCGGCAAATTAAGCGCTAAAAAGGCTGCCCGCGTGATGCAATCAATTGTTCTCTCCGAATATTCTCTCATCTCTTTGACACGGCTTCCGTATAGTCTCTCACCTGATTGATTCGAGAGTTTCATCGTCCATGTGCTCCGTCCACTCTGTCGGGACGTATGTTTTATCCTTCATCTTGTTGTTCCATCGAACGCGATATTGATCCGTCAACGGTAGCACGGGCTGTCCGGCGATCAAGCGGGAGAGAAGCCATTGGGCCTTGGAGGAGGAGGAGGAGGAAGAGGACGCGATACCGTTTTTCGGCAATTCGCTCAGCAGAGCCTTAGCCGCCAGGATACGCAAAGCGGGCGCCGCGTCTTGGACATCGCTTCGCTTTCCGTGCGCTACAATTTTTTTCATATCTTAATTTCTTTTCTCATGTTCTTGATATTGATGAATTTTTTTCTATCGTCTAACTCCACAAGTTTAGCCGATTGTTTAGCCACTTGTTGAAAGTGAAAGCGCGCGTATTAATGTAAAAAAAATGTGAATACGTACCTCCCCAACAGGAATGTCCAATATTTAAACAGGTTACTGGATTAAACAAAAAATTATGTATTACAATATTGTACATAATATAATAGTCAAACTTTTTGCGTTTGGTCATTAACATTCTTCTAGAAAGCAATGAACGAGGATTGAATGAGGATGTTCTTGAGCGGACAAAACATCAAATAGCTGGAAATATCATTTTCAAGCGACAACATACCGTGCAAAATAATGCAAAATAAGAAATAAGAAGAATATTCGAGAATATTCGTCTAAAGCGGTAGAGATAATATTGGGGCGCGCGTACGATTCGCCCGTGGCGAATAAAAACAAAATCGTATTCATTGCGCATGCGCTATCTATCTATCTATCTATCTATCTATCTATCGAAGCGAATGCGATAAAAATTTATTCGAAAATACTTATTACTTATTATATGCCCCTCAAAGACAATGTTTCGCGTTAAGAACGATCTCTCGTGATCTCTGTCTATAACGTAGCTCGTAATCGGACGACACAACAAGCTGGGGAAACTTGTCTCGATATTCCCCGCGTGCAGCGAATATTAAGGCGGATAATACTCCGTAAAATTGGCTTTCCATTATCCTTGTATTATGATTTCGCCGAACATCGCGCTCTCGAACAGTGCTCTCGAATTCTACTACGTTCTTCTGTCGGAAGAGTTTACTTGTAAACTCAGAAAGGGGTGCGTTGCGTGTGTTGAAATGAAAGAATAAATAAGCCAAGTCGCAACCTGAAAATTTACCCTAATATTGAGTGTATTATGGCTGCTACACAAGCGACGCACATACACGCGTGTATAATGTTGTGAAATCATTTACACTACGATTATCGCGTCGGTTGCGCGACTCACCATACATACACGGAGAACATCGCATCTGTGGTATGTGACAACGGATTAAAAGTTTCAATAGAATCCCGACAAGCTTTATTCGGAGCCAGCAAGAAATAATTCGAAGAAATCGCGATAGATGGAAATTAGAAAAGAATGCCGCGAGTGGGATCGCGAGACGGAAGTACTTGTTTGTAGGATTTGTTTGTAGGACGGCGGAATGTTGTTGTAGGAGCGCCTACACTGTAAGAGCGTCCCTCTGCGGCGGCGGTGTAACCTTTGCTCGCGCAAGAAATGAGACAAATTCGTTTTCACTTCTGTATGCTCGTTGGCTGCGTCCGTCGTGCGTTATTCGATCCACCCGTTTGTCGACCAGGCACACACACATACGTAATGCACCGAGAGACTCTCTCGGGAGTTTACTTGAGGGAGTTCATCCTCAAGGCTCGCGCAGCTCTTTTCTTTTCTCGAACCGCGAATATATGATTTAGGTAATGCGCATTTGTCCGCGCATTCGGACCTTGATTTCGACCTCGAGCCCTGATCCCGACGCACGACGATCCTTGATGATCGTCCTGCGCTTAGCTTAGCGTCTTGGTCGTAGCAAGATCATCTGGATGATCATCGAGAAAGTAATTGGGCGGAATTCTAGTAAGCGATAGGTAAGATCTTGGACTCTCGCTTGGACTACAACTTCAAGTCTACGTCTTTTGATCCTTGTGAGCATGTGTGGATATTCGGCAGTCGGAAGTGTATTTCGGGACTTTCGATCCGGGCGAATCTCTCGAGTTGCGCGATAATTAATGCAATTTACATCGTTCAATCTTCTCTCATTTTGTTAATTTGTCAAGGTAAAGTAGTAGTTTCACACAGACTGATCGAAATCGACTTTTAAGGATCGAGATGCTTGAAGAGAATACAGCCGGCGATATTCTTTCGGTGTACATTCGTCGTACAACACATTTCGTGTACAAACGATAATAGTTTCTTTCGTCCTCGAACTTTGATATCCTTTCCTACGAGATTCCCACGTCTTGTGGGATTCTTTCGCGTCATTTCACGAAGAACATAAGCTTTATCTAGAAATGTGTGTCGGCCACACACACACACACACACACACACACACACACACATGGATACATTCTCATTTTTATCACTTTATCGCGAGAATTGAGTTCGGAATTGAGTATTTAATAATTCTCTAAAAAAAATAATTCTCTCACATCACGTTCACTTCGCGAAAAAAAACGTAGTGGCTAATGAACCATTTCTTTTCTTCTTCTAAAAAAAAGTAAAATGGTGTAAAATTGCCTTCGTCGTCTCTTTTTCTATATCCGATTTGACCGAGCTTACCAGCGAATTCCGTCGCTAAGACGCGACGAAGACGCGTAAATGTATACTTTTGCTTAAAGGATTCATAAAGCATTATGCATTCGAGAACCTTTGACTGAGAACTTTTAATAACTCGATGTCGTTATCATAATTACCGTATTAATTGCACAGTTGATAGGGAGAATAAATAGAGCAAAGAAAGAAAAGAAAAAAACTACGTAAAGTTGTAGTATGTATTTAAAATTCGTGCAATTAGATGCTTCCGATGTTCCGATGTAAACTCAAATTAATTTATCCCGCAACTCGGAGACACAAAATTCTACGCTATTATAGCCACGACAATCCGTAAAGTCAGCCGTAAAGTTCCGGAAACTCGCTTATATATCCTTTTATCCCAAATTAATAGTCATGCAACCGACGAGACTACAGTCTCCGGATACAGTACTGCGGTGTCGCAAATAATTATTTTCCGCTTGATGAGCAGGCAAATTGCAATAAGCATCCGAGTTGCTGATACACATTTCTGCCACGGCCACGCGCCATCCAATAAGCATCCGTGTTTTCGCATCGAGTCAAGAGCGCAGGTAAACACGGTGAAAGAATAATGAGGCGTTTGCGCTATATATATGAGATTTACATTCGCCTTACATTCTCCTTTCGTGACCACGCGAAAGTGCGTCGCTTGTAAACGCGCATTTTGCGAAAAAGTACATGCAAAAAGTGATTTGTTAAAGCTGACATTTCACGTTTCGAACAGTCATTTCAAAAGTATTTGCCGGCTGTTATTTTTACGACTCGAATCGAATAGCGAAAGGCAACGCGGAATCAAGACCGGGGATATCGGATCAGGATTGATTTGATTTTCATTGATTCTCGGCTGGATTTTTCACCGAAATTTCGAGAAGTGAGAGTTAGTTACGCGTTAATGTCTGTGCGTCTTGACTGTTTGCCACTGGCGCGTAAAACCGATGACCGTACAATGCGATGCCGAAATTCCAGCTGAACCGGCGGATATATTCACGAATCGGTTTAACAGTAAAAAATATACACTCGATTGGTCTTTCGAATAATTTGATTCCAACAGCTGTCGAGTAGCTGACGGTCTATCGATTATTCCTTAAGCGAATACCGCCAATTCTAATATTTTTACGTGGTATACAAGTAGAGTCACATAAAAAAAGAAAGCAAATCTTGCGAGCTAAACTAAAACGAGTGTAACATAATCATTCCTGACACTTTGTAGTATTTTTAGACCTCGGTTAACCTCGGCTAACAATGATGATGAACAGCGATAGTATGAAATATGCGAGAAAACTTGCAAGTTTAACGTCGACCAATCTGATTCGAAAAAAGAAAAAAACAAAACCAAAATGAAAGAAAGAAGGAATGCTCTCTCTCTCTCTCTCTCTCTCTCTCTCTCTCTCTCTCTCTCTACTTCCGTCACGATTTGTCGTCACGTGAGAACATCGCTGCGACATGTGATTACATTGCGCATGGGACATAGAAAAGGGAAAACTGCGTGAAACTGCGACGAGGAGCGAGAACTGCAAATACCTACCGCCCGCGCATTCGACGAAGCAAAAGTTCAACATTATGATCGAAGTGTGTACGACGATTGTCAGCGTGAAGGAGTTTCTTGATGATGACGCCATGAGATATTCCTTACTGGCGCTTCACCGTAAAAACAATCGAGCGGATATGTGGTGTTTGGCCGAAGCGGAAGTCTGCCGCCTGCAAATTTCGTCTTGGTGAGGCCCATTTTTTCGATATAAATGAATACGAAAAATATGTAAATACGAATGAAATATTTGATATACAAAAGTTACGTTATATAGTCAAGAGTTTCTCAATATATGTAAAAGTATATGTAAAATGGGAAAGCATTTGTTAAATTCGTAACGTTGCCTCGACTATCTCTTTGGAAGGTAACCACTGGCTGGGTATACGTATTATCAAAAGTATTTCTCACGATCGACTAGTGCCACTTTTACAATTAGTGAGATTCTAATGGTGGAAAGAAAATATAAATAAAAGAGATGTATCATCATGTATATATATATATCAGATCGACTGTGTAGTCGAGGAACGTTCGGTTCGTCTCGCGGGGTCCGTAGTCGCAAATTTTAATAAATACTCCAACAGACTCAAAGATGATAACACGAGATGATAACTCTACTTTCCCTCTTTTCATGCACTCGAAAATGAATCGTACGTATGTCACTTTTGTACACCTTCGAAGAAACGAGCGGGTCACCTATTCGAACCGCGCGCGCGCGCGCGTTCACCGAAAACGGGGCTCCTCGCTGGACCGCCAAAGTCAGGTCGATCTCGATCGAAGGGGTCGGCAACTGAACTCGGAGTCGCGGATGCGACCAGTGCTTTTATAGACGCACATGGTGGAGCATGGTGGTGCATGGTGGGGTGGCTGATCAACGCGCCTTCAGGACGCGCACCTGCGTCGGTGCGATAGGGAAACCTATCTACCCCTTTGCACTTTCTCCCTCTCACCGTCGCCGCAAGGGAGAGAGAGAGAGAGAGAGAGAGAGAGAGGGAGAGAGAGAGGGAGAGAGAGAGAGAGAGAGAGAGAGGGAGAGAGAGAGAGAGAGAGAGAGAGAGAGAGAGAGAGAGAGAGAGAGAGAGAGAGAGAGAGAGAGAGAGAGAGAGAGAGAGAGAGGGAGAGAAAGGGAGAGAGAGAGAGAGAGAGGGAGGGAGAGAGGAGGAGAGAGAGAGAGAGAGAGAGAGAGAGAAAAAAAGATCAAAAGTCGAGTGCGTGCCTTCGTCGTCGGTGTTGTGAATTTCGTGGCAACGCGGCGATACCGGATACGAAAACACTCGAATCCTTGTGGGTGGAATTTAATTGGAAGTTTATCGTAACGCGGATTTCATTGTTCGTCAGCCGCGATTGGTTATCGGGAGCGAATGTTTAATCCGCGCGAATCCGTGCATCTAAGAAAAAAAGAAAAGTAGGTTGTATCGATGTATGTCACTCGAAACCGTTTCGGCCTCGTAGTTTCCTCTCTCGTAGTTGTATCGGAATTAAATTCTTAAGCCGGTCATCCTTTTAGCGCGGTCCTCTCGTTCTATCGCGCGGTTGAAATTCCAGTTTCCGTACGCGCGATACTTGATCCTCTATATTTAGTAAATTTATAATCGTTTCGAGATTATTTTCAGACGACTCAGCGCCCCGATACTTCCCGACTAATTTTCACGTTCAATATCTTTGTATTGTAGAGCGCCGAATTTTCAGATAACAAGTGACGCGTGAAATTTAATGGTAATTGATGTTTTGCGGTGTATATCATGGTTGCATCTCCGGTTGTTCAAACCGTCGAGGAATCTCTTCTTCATCTCGCGTTTGTGTGTATAATGCGAAAACTACACCAACTACCTCGTTAAATCGCTTCTCGTTCTTTGTACATTGAACTCGCGTCTGTGTTTGAATGGATTAAACAGCGAAGTGCGAAGTGTAAGCTAAGCCTGATAGCGCAGCTGCTACCACCACGATATATCTCGCTTGTTCATGCTTGCTGGTAGAAGGATAAAGATAGTGCATATGTAGCTACATATGCAGCTACAGGCTAAAGATAAACACCACATCTACATCTGGAAATTTCGTGGGAGAGAAAAAGTGTTCAAAGGGAAATTTTACGCCCGCAATTCCCCGCGATCGTTTCATGTAAATAAAACAACTCGATACGTAGGTGAAAATAGGACACACGTCAATTGCCGAGGTTTGTTGATCGAAATTTACGACGATGTAGTAATATTTCCTCCTTAATCGCAAACTGTGTTCCTTCATTCGCGAGGTGATTGTAAAATGGCGATCACTAATTTAGTATGTACGTGTAGATTTGTGTATTTTCCCCTTTTTCTTTGCACGAGTAGTTTCAGTGCAGTCGAAAATTTTGACGCAATTAAAAATTTACAACATTATCGAGAAAGGTACAAGATGTTTTTAAAAAATTGCGACACGCGTTATCCAATATTATTTTCAGGGAGAGAACGCCTGTAACGCCTGTCCAGATATTGCCCACGATGGCCATGTGGCTGCGGATAATTATGATTGCTGTTGCAGGATGTGCAATTAGATATCTTTAGGGGACGTAACAACATTTCGCGCTACGTATACGTAGTAGTAAACACAAGTATCCGTGGGCACATTGTTTATTTTTAGACGAGAAAGAGGGAGAGAGAGAGAGAGAGAGAGAGAGAGAGAGAGAGAGAGAGAGAGAGAGAGAGAGAGAGAGAGAGAGAGAGAGAGAGAGGCGTTTTGATTAAAATAATATTTAATGAGTCATTAATTAAACCGATGACCGATTTTGCAAATCAACCATCAACGGTGGCACACCGTTTTCACACCGGTGGTGTGTGATAAAAGACGCAACAAGTTCGGCCAAAGTATCGCATCGTTCACATCAGCGTAGCTTCGCGGCGACTGCTCGGCTGCAAGTGGTTAAGACATCGCACGGTCTGCCTCCATATGGCAGTTAGTAGTTACGTACGCGCTCGCAGTCAGACCGCACTGTACATAAAGATGGGTGACGGCACACCTGGCATTTGTGGATCGAGTGCAACAAAGGTGCAATACCGCAACGAGTATTTCGTTAATAGCCCGCGTAATTACATTCGCAATTCGTGTTGGTTTATGGACTCGTAAGAGACACGATACGAGATACGGATAAAGCGCGAGCCGGAATATGTAAAGGCGAGTCAACGATGCAACGAAACATTCTTTGTGCAAATCAACGTTTTCGTCGGTTACACATGGTGTAACCGTTTCGGTCCCGACATTTCTTTTCTCGACTGATCTGATGACTGAGAGAGCGAAACAATAATTGGTATTTGCTTTATTGTTATAAAGATACGACGTAATCTTTCATCATCTCGTAAATAAGTCTAGTAAAAATCTTCTCGATCGACGTTGTTTCACCTCCCTCGTATGGCGCGACGAAGGAATGAGTTGTGTGTGAGTATAACTTGACGAAATTAATTTTTTGTTATTTGAGAACGTCGAGAGATTTCTCAAATAAATCGCATCTACGTCGAAAAATGTAATATCTTGTCTCACAAGAGACGGAGAGAAAGGGTGAATTATATGTCAACAGCGCTGTATCATTCGCTGCGTCTTTCATCATGAAGAAGAGCGGGCTCGCGCGCCAGTCGTAAAACCTGAGTCATCAGAAGGAAGAAGAGTGGCAAGTTGCTTTCGCTGTCAATTACTCTAGCGGCCCTTCGCATAGAAAGCAATAAACCGACAATCCACTGGCGATTTAATTTAACGCGTGCGAAGAAGCGTTAGTGAAACGCCGTGACATTTGAATGTTTCGTTCGTTACCGCTCTTCTCGTTACTTTGCTTTCGTTTACGTTTAATACGGAGGCGAGTTCATGAAATGCGAAATTTGTCGGAATTTGAAGCTTCGTAATAAATTTATTAGCCGTTCAACTTGTTCCTCTTTCAATACTTTTTCACGGTAAATGTAACAACGAGGATAGACTAGACATGTCGTCACATTTCGACCGCGCATCTCTTTTGTATGACGCAAGTGCGTCGCGATGTATCGAAAAGGAAATTGACTGTAAACGGCGTTTGTGTGCGAGAGAGACGTAAATGTGGAAAGAGTATGAAATGTGCGATATAATAATCTGGCCGATTGGCAAAATTCTTCGTGCTTATAATCCGTCTTGCATCCGATTATTAATCCGCTTATAAGAGCGAGGAACCCAGGAGGTTAGGTCGTACGTATATTAAACGGCGCGATAAGTCTCGGAAAGAATTTCCTTGGATTCAAAAGCAATATGCGAGTCATTAGGTTTGCAGGAAACGTTCCACTCATCTAGAACACATCGATCGACGCTCGACGCTCTTCGATGCTGGATTTCGCGATAACGAGAGTTCGCGAGTCTCTTCGTTCGATGAGTCCGAAATCTATCCGGAGATTGAAACGTAATTCGCGGCAATAATAAGGCGATTGAAACCTGCGAATGAAGAAGAGCACACGCGAAAGCGTGTGCTCATTAATATACGTACGCACGTTTGCACGTACTACCTCTCTCTCTCTCTCTCTCTCTCTCTCTCTCTCTCTCTCTCTCTGTGTGTGTGTGTCTTATGCCTCTTCGTTTGTCCCGTTGATGAGAGCAGCGGCTTTAAAGCGAAAAGTTTGACGTGCTAGTAATTCCGGATTACTGTTATTATTGTTATTCTCCCGGCCGGGTTCGATCGGAATATTCATGAGATTAATTGGACGGTACATTTTCGGCGCGTAACTTAACATCCAACCCTCCTTCACAATTCACGGATGTACGCGGAGGATCGCGATGAAACACGATTTATATGCGGTGCGTTTTCTGCGTTTCATTTCTCCGCATAAACGATGGGACTTTCACTTGAGGGACGGCAGATTTTCAGTCAGAAATTCAGTCAAGTAACTGTCTCTCGCGTTCTGTCACGTTCGCCGCAGGCAGCGAAGAGTACGTCGCACGTAGTAATAATTGTGATGGGCGCCGCTTCCCCTGCTAAATGCGTCAGTCGTAGGATTTATGTTATGTCCCGGCAAGTGAGGGTCGCGTGGATCATCGAACAATTTGCAAACGTCACTGGATTGGAATTTCGAAAACGTGACGCGGACGATACACGTCTCGTATACGTGGCGGACACGGGCCATTTCACTGCGACGACATCGCGCACGCAATAAAAAAGGGGGAACAAACGATCCGCGTAAAATGTATGTACAACCCGCGCGCGCGCGCGCGCACTCTCCGTCGCCGTTGATATTCTATTTTCGCGTGATCGCGCGGATTTGAGCGCGATTCCGCGCGTCGCGGTGGTGCGGTCAATTCGACTTCATGACGTCGCCACGCACGCCATTTACGAGCTCGCCCCTCGCAAATGTGCTGCCTCGCGAAAAGGCCTTGCTCGCGTGATTTCGCGTCGTTAACGATTCGTGAAAAACAAAAAAAAAAGAAAATCAGAAAAAAAGAAAAGAAAAGGAAAAAAGAAACAAAAAAGGACACGAAAGAAAAAGAAAAAAGAAACACGTATCGACCGTCGCGCGACCGCGCTAGGACCGGAACGGATCTCCCGCGCTTCTGCACGAGCTGTTTACGCGTTTTTTTTCATGGCAGGATATTAGACGGGAGGTTACTAGCGGAGGTCTGCTAGCGGCGGATTTTATGGGGATCATTTTCTCTACCGTCTCTCGAGTTTTCTTCTCTCGAGTTTTAAGCTAGTTAAATTTTAAGCAGTCTTGATTGAAAAAGAAGTTTGAAACGAAAGATCGAGATCGAAGAAAAGTATCGAGAGTCAAAGATATTGCAAAGAATGACAACAGGATCTTATGTGACTCGCATCACACGCGTCA